TGTCATCAGGAAATGTACAATGAAAAAAACAAGTGGCATATTGTGTCACTTCTTAACTTCATGGGCTACCATAAAAATAATATCTGATTAATATGACGCTACTTCTACTAACTGTGGAGATTCAGCCTGTCTGTCACTGTGAGCAGATAAACGGCATGGTTTTGTGCAGTGCGGCTGTCTCAAAAGCAAATAATACATGAGCAGAAGGCATATAACCCTGCAATATCATTAGAAAACAATCATGCGGGGGGGGGGCAGGCTGCTTTTAAAATACTGCATCCGAAATAGAGATCATTTCAAAGATCATTAAATCTTTATGGAGAGTACAACAAGCAGATGTGGAAGGGCATGGGAGGGGTTACTTGGTTATTTTTAAATTAGTGAAGACAAAACCAGAAATGTACAGCAGCTATGCTGAAGTCGGTAACACAGAAAAGTTGGGGGGGGCAGGAATCAAAACCAGAGATCATTAAATGAAACTGCAAAGTGTTGCACTTAAAAACCCCATTTTGTGTGATTAGTTTAAATGTTTTAGCTAAACTAGACTGTACATCATCATCTGTCTTAACAGGAATCGGAGTGATCAGATATTTGTCGAGATAAGAACATCAGTTGCAATTTAAAAGGTAGCATGCAGTTGACTCAGCCTTAAGCTTCCTGGCTCATTGACTTCCTTCTATGGGAGCGTCCAGATGGGTGTTTATTGTGGGATCTGGGGGATCATTTGCACATGGTTTTTGCAGCATCCACACAACAGCAGCAGCAGCCTGTATCCCTACACCTCCCCCCATCTAATCCTGATTTACCCTTTCCTTGGAAAATCCAATACATTAAAGAAAAGTGGAGGGGGAGAGCCTGTTGCCAGCAACCTGTTTGTGGTATCTGAATGACCAGTGTGTGATATGAAGAACCTAACGCCAAATCTAAATTCCATGTTGTAATATTCATGTTAAAATTACATGTCAAACATCTTGGATGTGGTGAATCGCTAGCCTTATCTCTGATGTCTGTGCCTCTGCACCAGTGAGATAATCTCATTGCCAGCCATCTATTTTTGCATCCATCCTACACAAATGTGTCAAAAGACACATGCTCCTCCTTGAAATGTATCACAAATATATTGAGGTACAGTATTTGGGTGGATTCATCAATCTGTTATTCAGTTTGAATGAAAAGATGACATTCCTATTCATTACGTTCTCTATTTTTGAACTTTAATAAAAGGTTTTAGTAGCATCACAATCATCACAGCTGTCATCAGCCTTCTTGTAGACCAGGTAAGCAAAGTTGTAGGATCTGGAGCAAGGATGTAGTCCCAATGAACACAGGGTGGAGAGGATTCAACCCTTCCACAAAGCAAATCATCACCATCCAAAAAAACCCCTGCTATTACCTGTGGAAGGGGAAGTATACAGGCAAGGACCTTACTGCACTATATGTAGGTTTGTTTGTTTTCCTGTGGAGCTAACAACACATTCAAAGACATGATTTTCACTAACTAGAAAAAATGACATATCTCTGGATTTATTTATTTCATTGGCATGGGGGGGGGGGATCTGCTTTGTGTCATGGCCCCAATCCAAATCTTGCCCTGCCTCTGCTTTTTTGCCCTGCCTCTGCTTTTAGCACCCATCCAGTTAAGGATATGAATTTATGCATCTTTGACATGAAGACTAGTTTGGCCCCAGTCCTGACAGCACAACATCATCATCACCTTTAAATCTTACAGAGGCAGAAAGCACAACCTAGCTCAGCCCTTGCCAGCAAAATGAGAAGGAGACAGCCCGAGTGATGGACCGGGACTTCTTGAGTTTAATCCAATTCAACATCAGGACAAAGGGTTTGTTTTTATTATTTCTGATTCTAAAAAGTAGCAATAATCCTGCACTGGGAAGTGGTTTGGGAAGCTCATGTGACTGTCCACGGATATTGTTTTAAAGGAAAGTAGGAAAAATAAGAGGGGGAAATGTACTTAGCAGAAATAAGTATTTGGCAGTGGAGGGAGCTATAGATTTTGGCTCCACATCAGACAAAATATTTTATCACTCATTATGTTCAATTAAAGTAGTGGAAAGTAAGCAGGAAGGAAATAGAGAAAAAAAGTATTCTGCCTACTTTTCCTTTGACATAACAGTTGTCTTAGCTTTGATGAGACTTCATCACCAGGCATCTTCAGAAACACCTTTGAAGTCAGTCTGAATTAACCCACTGGTCCATAGTCAGAACACATTTTCCCCAATCCAGGAAAAGTTGATTGTACTCAAGTCCTACTGAAATAAATGGAGTTAAGTTAATTGTGAATAACGCCCCCATTAATGTCATTAAAACTTTATTCAAGGGTGTGTGTTTTTTAGTTTTATGTCCTGTTGCTATGCCCTTGTTTGCTTACAAAGTCATACTTTACTACTTATTTTGCAGCCCATTTTGGCTCCATAAATCTCAGCTAAATACCAGTGTTTGCTCTAAATGTACCTTTGCTCCTCAATGAGTGGAAAATCCCTTCTGCTCATGGAAGAGGCATTTTCAACTTTGAAGTTGGATCAAACCCAAAGTGGACTATAACTACATCAAATGCTGATCACGTTAAAAAGAATTGTATAATCAAGGTAAAAGATGCCACCATACTGGTGTGAAGAATATAAGGCCCCTTTTGCCCCAGGCATGGGGTCTCTCCTATATTCATTTAGTACTGTATATAAACAAACATAACCTGAACCCACAACTTAGAATATCTATGTATACACAGATTTTACTCTCTTATTTTGGATAACATGGCTTTAGATCTCCAACATGTTCTTCTAAGAACATGAACCCTTTTATAAATTAATAAGGTTCTCATTTTAAGATTAAAAGCTACCATGCCCACTTTTCTTTAAAAAGTCTTGTTCTCTTCTGGTGGGCAGGGAGACAGTGCTGAGAGTTAGAAATGTATCGTGTGGACATTTTGCATTGTTATTATTATATTTATTACATGCTCTCCGCCGGTAGAAACAATTTAAAGATGAAATGAGTTGAAACAATTTAAAATTCAGAATTAAAAACACTTAAAGCAGATTACAGTTGTGGCCCTGAGAAAACATATCTCAGGTGTCAAAGGCCAGGAGAAAGAAATGCATCTTCAAGCTTTCATCAAAAGTTGCATAGTGAAAGTGCCAGAGGCACCTCTGCAAGGAGGAAATACTACAACGCCAAGATAATGGCAGAGCATCAGCACCTAAGAAGTTGTCTCCATTAAAATAGGCTCGTAACCCATTACTGCCTGTCACTTTTGGCTCATTTTACATTCAACAGGCAGCCATGTTGAGTTCTTCTATATTATGCTGCAGTTGACTCCCATACAATTGTCAGCACTAGAGGGCACTCCTATCCTAACATTAGAACACTGTTGTATGATGTTTACTGATCAATGTAATAACTCCCGAAACTCCATCCATAGAGAGCAAGGCCCTCTTGTTTGTGGTAGGCCTTCCTTTGTACATTCCCCAGGGTGTATGTGTTACATGCAAATCATTATATTATATTATATTATATTATATTATATTATATTAATTATATTTTCACTTACACATCTGTAGAATACCTATGCAGTGAAAGTCAGACATTTGAGCAATACTCTAGTCCTCTTCACTCTTTCGCTTGGGTACAAGTGAATGCATTAAGACAGATGATTGTCCGTGCCCCTGACTTCCACACATACTTTTGCACAGATCCCACATACGTACATCCAAATATTCATAGGGTCCTGTATGTACAATCCAGTCCTCTGGGAAGGTACTAGTTTGCACGTACAGCAGCCTGAACTCATTTGGGTATATGTGCAGAAGGCACACTTGGGTGCAAAGGTGGGTCCAGAAAACACATCTCCCAGGCAGTCCATTTCGAAGCAAGCGCATATGGCTCTTGTTATCATATATGCCAAGCTTTGTTTGAATGCTATTCCCCTAGACACAAGCCCTTATCTGAACAAGTTGGATAGGTAGCCACAAGGCCCTTCTGATAGATTAGAACACACCGCAAAGGATTTATTAGTGTAATGTAGGAAATGGACAGCTTTGTCACAGCTGGTGATGCCAAAGGTCTATTAAACAAGATCATCATGAATGGCATCTCCAATGAAGCAGGAGGTTTTGCTGCAGTGCTTTTCTGTCCAGCAATACCGTTGCTGAGTGGAACGGGAAGCTCATTACTAAATTATAGGCAGGAATACTGAGTTATGTTGCTAATTAGTTTCCCAACTGATCAGAAGGGACTATTAGTCTCTCTTCTAAAAGACAAATGTCTTTGAGTCTCTCTCTCTCTCTCTCTCTCTCTCTCTCTCTCTCTCTCTCTTATCTGCAAGCAATTCTATTTGTTTTGGTGTGAATTCAGTTTGAAATGAGCCCTAAAAAAAATTTGCGTGCCCAGACTGTTTCACAGTCTTTCTTTTGACATTTCCCTATGAGAGAAGCAGCAGGAGGGAAAGGAAGTACTCCCTCCCACTGCTTCTTCAAACCACACCCTTGTCCCATCCATCCAGCACCAATTCATCTGTACATTTCAAACCTCAGTATGTGTAAATCAGTGAGCATTGAGATTATAGAAGCTGCCTGCTGAACTACAGCTCTGAGTGCCTCTTGCTGATGGAAGAACCCTACAGCCCAGAGCAACAAACTACTTTCGCTGGGAGGAAACTTCTTTCCTAACTTCAGGTATGTCAATCAGCCAGACTGCAAACCTGATAAAACCTCATCAAATATCCTGTCTCTAGTTGCAGGCCATAGAGGTGGGGAAGAAATTCGGTTTGGTTAGCATTTTAATGCGAACCTTCCTAATTGGTATTGCCTGAAACAACAGATGTCAAGTGAGACACAGCTATCCTTTGAAATTCACGCTTCTCCAGATTTTGCAATACAGTTCTCAGGCCAAAACATGCATGCAAAAATGTGCATATTAGAGGGAATTGTGCATAGAAACCATAGACTCATATAACTGTAGAGTTGGAAGGGACCATGATAGTCTTCTTTTGCCCAATGTGGGGCTCAAACCCACAACCCTAAGATTAAGAATCCAGTGTTCTACCAATTGAGCTATCCACCTACATTGGTGGAAGTAACATACAAAAATGCACATATTGGGGAAAACTGCTTGCACAAATGTATAGATTAGGCAACATTGATTAGAACATGGATATATTAGGAGAAATGCATACTAAAATCCTGCGGATTTGGGTGAGGGCTTTTTTCTAAAAAAGAATTCACAAACTGTTGAGGAAACTTCAAGATTGGGGAAAGTTAGAAACCAAAACTGACACATTTGCCCATCCCAAGAAGTGACAGTATCAGATACTCTAAAGGAGGTCAGGAAAATCCTTTTCCGGGCCCAGTAGCCAACCAGATGCCAATGCGATGCATAGCAGGTCCTTAGTGCAAGTGTTACGGAGCAGGATTAAAAAATTGTCCAGTAGCACCTTAGAGACCAACTAAGTTTGATCTTGGTATAAGCTTTCGTGTACATGCACATTTCTTCAGATACCAGGATTAAAACACACATTCAGACAGTGCTAGATTACCCAATTGGCAGAGTGCGTGCTTAGGGAACCAACAAAGCAGGGGCACACACAAAAATGAGTTTTTAAAAAAAGATTTAACGTTTGGAATTTCAAAGAAAGCATTGAGGTAGTCATCTAGAAAGAGGCTATTTCAATTTAAGCCTATAGGAAGGTTTCGTGTCATTTTGAAAAATAAAATTTTATTTATGGTCTAGTATTGTTCTTATTCTGAATTACATGTGGACGATACCATAATCTGTTCAGTGCTTAGGGCCTCCAGTGTCAATAAATTGTTAAAGAAGTGTAAAACATACAGAATAATTACATATAATATATTATGCGGTAACCAAAGATCAACAAACAAAAAGGGAAAGTTGATTATAGTTATTAGGATTATTTTCAATTTAAAAAAGTTCCTGGACAGTTCAGCAGACGAGGCTGAAGACAAAGAGAAAGTAAAATCCTTATCAAAAGTATCACTATTTTGATCCTTCTGCAGAGAGGAAGGAGCCTCTGCTTTGCTTAGCGGAAGCCAGCAGGTTTCTCAGAAGCTCTGCTACGAATGGACCATTTTCGGTAGGAAAATCACTTATATCAAGAAAAACCACAAAAGATTTTCAGATAACAAAGTTTAGTTCTTTTAAGACAATCTCTAACCGCAACTACCTTGGCAAGGTTCCCAAAATAACAGGTGCTTGTCTTTGCTGCAACCTGTGAGCCATCTCTGACGTGCCTCCTGTCTGACTTGCCTGCTTTATTCTTCCCTCACGTGTCCAGCTTCTAACAACTTTGCCGAGCCCTATATAGATGTATTTCAAAAGCAAAACATAAAATTACAGAGTATAAAAGAAGGCCTGAAAGAAAAAAACAGCTCTGCATTCTCCCACCAGTCTTTCGCTTTGAAAGAAGTGCTATAAGCAAAAAATTTCGCTTTAAAAAAAAATTGTGTTGGGGTTGTTGTTGCTTTTTGCTTTTTGCTTTTTCTAATCTGTGCCTTCTAATATTTCATGGATGAAAACAGGGACCCCACAGTGCAGGAGTGGGTGGGTCTGGCAGCTTGAGCTGGTGGAATCCAGAGTCTTAAGTACCTGGGGAAAGTGGGTGGCTGTGGAGGTGGGTCTGCACCTTAAAATATGCAAATATGTGCTGTATTGCATTTATAGCTCCTAATAGACATTGGCATAGGCAATGGGTTGACCACTTGATTGTAAGCCCTGCGCAAGATAAAGCAACTAACAATTTTAATGAATAATAAATAAATAAATAAATGCTGTGAGAACAGGGTGCGAGGCTCAGTGGGCCTGCAGGAATTCCACAGGGCAGGATTTGAGCACAAGAGCAATCTCGCCTCCTGTGGTTTCCAACAACAGGTATTCAGAAGCATTACCTCTGCCAGCCTTGGAGGGAACTGTGGTTGACTGACAATCTCTTGTTCTGGAATAAATAAATTTTGTAACTTTAAACAGCATACAGTGGTACCAACACTTCGGGTTACAGACTCCGCTAACCCGGAAGTAGTATCTCAGGTTAAGAACTTTACCTCAGAATGAGAACAGAAATTGTGCGGCAGCAGCGGGAGGCCCCATTAGCTAAAGTGGTACCTCAGGTTAAGAACGGATTCAGGTTAAGAATGGACCTCCAGAATGAATTAAGTTCGTAACTGTAGTGACAAACCTTTCTGGAATTTTCATGGGTGGTCCAACCTTCCCAGCTTTATATACTATCCATTTATGTCTGCAACCAGCATTGTGATGGAGAGAAATGTGATTTATCCTGCTATTGTGATACAGTACTATGTTGCTTTTATATTTTATATTTATATATATATTTCTCTTCTATACTTCTTTGGTACTTTAATGCTCAGGGGGGTCTGAAAAATTCTGCTAAATAATTAAAATAAAACAAATCCATTCAATCTGTGCACACAGATGTCAGAAAAATGTTTGACTTGGTAAGGCTACCATGGCCACCACCTTCTCCATATGCTCCTAAGCAGTCTTGTCCCTTGGTGGAGTAAGACTGTTTGGAAAACAGGAAACAGATGGTACAGTTGGAAACATACATTTTTCACACTGGAATAAAGTGAGAAAGAAAGAAAGAAAGAAAGAAAGAAAGAAAGAATTCAGATAATGAAATGTCAAGCAAAGTTTTTTTCAGGAGATCTGCCTGAAGTCTACTCTATAATCTTTAACATATGATTTTGCTGCGTTCTTCTCATATTGTCATTGTGTATTATTTCCCACAGAAGCCCTTCCTTCTACTTCCTCCTATTGTTGTCTTTGCATATGGCTCTTAATGTATACGTGGGCCCTTTGTCATCCCCTTGAATCCTGCAGAGTCAAAAGTTCAAAGCACCTGCATGACAGAAAAGCTGGCATCACTCACATAATGGGATGTGTTCAATATAGCCAGAAGGGACTCCAAACATTCTGGGAGGAAGGAACAAGCAATCTCTTTGAAAAATTACCTTCCAAAGAGAAAGCTCTCCGAAGTCTTCTCCCACATCCATCCTGACTCACTGAGTCTAATACCTATCACTTTATTTGCTTCCACACACCCACCCACACCCAAAAAAATAATCCTCTGGACTTAAATCAAATATGAGAAATATCATCCTGAAAATAATATGATATGATTGTCCATTGATGCATTTAGGTGAGAGATAAGATGATTTTTAACCACACTAACGGAACGAAATCGTGCAATAGCCTCCCCAGGCGTTGTCGGGCAACGAAAGAAATCTCATCCATTTTAAAGCATGCTGAGTAAATTTGTATGAGATTTTGCATGATAAATCTCATTCTAAAGTCTTAGAAGTGAACTTTCCCTGCTGAGCTCAGGAAAGATGTTTCCCTGGAATAATATCTTCTACCCAATTCAGAAACCAGGTACACTGGAATGTTTTGCTTTATCAATTTGTATTTATGGAATTATTTATATGCCACTTTATGGGGTACAGCCCACCCAAATATTTGAACTTGGGGAGATTCATATTCAATATGCACTCTCATTAGTTTCAAGATTCATTAAGATGCGAGCAGTGTGCTTTGGATTTCCCCCTCCAGACTATCATGAAAAGTGAGGTCTTTCATGCACAACTGGACCCACGAGCTTCAGATCTCACCACAGGCAAGAGTCACGAACCACGCTATAGAGGAGATTCATAGATCAGTTGCCCACAATTCCGTAGGTTACATAGTAATTGGCTCTTAGTTGCACAGAGATCATTCAAGGTTTTTTCTTTGTTCCTCTCAAGTCAATTCACTAACCAGCGTGAGAGTTTTCAGTTCCTTGTCTGGGTCCTACAGCAGGGGTGGGGTCCCCAGGCCTGGGGGCCAAATGCAGTCCTGCAAGCCTTTCCACCTGGCCCAGGTAGCACCCTCTCCCTAGACCATGCCCCATACCAAACCTGCTTTGCAACCTCTTTGAGTGTTTTTGCCTGGCTGGAATGTCTCCTTGAACTCTGATAATGCTTATATAGATGGACAGGGACGTGTGAGTCCACCCACTTTTGCCTCTGGCCTTGCCTGTCACTGGCATGGGGCTTCCGGAAGGTTCCTTAGAAGCAAATTCAGCCCTCAGGTTCACCAGTCAGGATCCATTACTTCCTGTTTCAGTGCATGGAAACACACTCAATGAGGTTGGGTGTTTTTCTATTACATGTGCCTGTCTTTCAGGAGTGCCCTGTAACTTCCACATGACCCCTGTATTATTATACCAGGCACATAACCATCTGCTTTTAAGCAGGCTGTCATATAAAGATAAAAGTTGCCTATACACAATCGGTAATGATCTCTCACCTGTCTCTTTTCCTTAATAATAAAAGGAGCCAAACGACGGCACACAGGTAATGAACAAACACTTGCAGGTTACAAAGCTGAGCGCAGTGTGCTGTTCTTTATTGTATATTTTTGGAAGGGGCAGATTTATGCCTTCATAAATTAATAATTCAGGAAGTATAAGGAGCTAGAGCCAATTAGCTGCAATAATTTGCATTTTTATGCTTCTTCATTAGTTCTGCGAGTTCTTCTCGGTAATAGAGGCAATACGAAACGCCGTCTTTCCAGGGTGAATAGCCAACCTGTTCTTGTTTGTCTGGTAACGAGGCTTCTTTAATTATTAAGAAGCCAAACAATCTAATAAATTCCAATGGAAATACTTTGCCCCTGAAATCCTGCTCCTTTATGTGCATTGCTGACTGACCCCTGTCCTCTGCTGGTGTTGAAAATGGGATTCTGTTTGGTCACGGAAGCGATGCGCGCAGCCCCCTGCCTGTGCCTGCTTGCCACCAAAGGATCTCGAGCAAATGCACATACGCACCAGCAATAACAAATGGGGAGGAGAAGAAGCCATCCGTCATGGAAGATTTCTAATTTAATCTAACGTATTAGTTGCTCAGAGCCAAGTGAGAAACACATTATTCCCAGGCAATCACCATAAAAACATGCTAAAAATACTTGGTGTTGCTGGATTAGCCTCAGTCCAGATGGGTCCCAAGGGTTGGCATTGCTGGGCAACCGTCAAGGCTCTCAGTCTCTGCATGTCA